TTTTCTGTTACATAAGGGTGAGTTGTTGTACAGTTGTAGGGAGTATTTTCTGTTACATAAGGGTGAGTTGTTGTACAGTTGTAGGGAGTATTATCTGTTACATAAGGTGAGTTGTTGTACAGTTGTAGTATTATCTGTTACATAAGGGAGTTGTTGTACAGTTGTAGGGAATATTTTCTGTTACATAAGGGCGAGTTGTTGTACAGTTGTAGGGAGTATTATCTGTTACATAAAGGTGAGTTGTTATGTTGTTTTAAGGAGTTTTTGTTACATATTTAGAATCTGTTATTACCATTTCTATTTTTTTCCTCTTTGTTATTATAATATATTATGATTTGTGAGCTATTGTGTCCAAATAATTTCACTTGTGGATGAATAAAGTTTGTCTAAGTCTAAGTCAAAGTCGAAAATACGAAAATGTCAAGTTTCAAGTAGCATGTTAGTTTACAGTAAAAACATATTGCGCAGTCAATCTCGGTGAACATTTGCTGTAGAAAAGCCAGAATAATGCAATCTTGACAGCCTGGAGAGCAGATACAGTGATTCATTGACAAATCTTGGTAATAAAAATTGCGAGAGCAGGCCATAGCTTCAGCTTCAGTTGCTATGAAGTATGGTTTATGTGAGACGTATGGAGCACCGTGAAAATATGTCATTAGCCACTATGCTAACACTATTACAAGGTCAACTGTTCCACCTGCTATATTCTCTTTTCATTTCAAGAGCTTCAATTTAATCGTATACAAACATGAAAGACGACCTTGCATTAATGCTTTTTTCCAGTTCATGAAAAATATATGTCTTTATGGTCGTCAAAGCGAAACTGGTGACAGGGAAGGTCCATGAATGAAAAGGTGCGCAGGTGAAGTCATGTAGGGACGTCCTTATTAAGATGCAAATGAGGAAGACAGGTTTTTGCATATATTAATGGATATATACATGAAAAATATATCGTAATGAATTTTTAAATGATATGGGAACAAATAAACTAGGTGACATTAACAGGAGCACAGTTTAATACGTGTAGAGACGTGAACATGTTGGTTGCTGGGAATTTGCTCATCTAAATTTAATGATTTGTAGGATTATGGATCAAATAAAAACAGGAGATGCTAATTTCATGATGATAAAAAAGAGCACATTTTAGTGAATACACAGAAGCAATCTTAATTATTCTAGTTCTAAATAGTCTACTCATTGGGTATGTTTTCAATAGATGTAAATGACATAGTATCTTGGTAACCTTGTATAACGGAAGATTGACAGCAACAAATTAGTGTGAGATGTTTAATTTTCAGAATCACAATTACTCCTATCTATTTTTATTCATTTAATAGATTTGCTGAAAATATGCAGAATACAGAAAACTACACTTCATATTCATTGTGAGCTACTATGTCCTAGTGTCTCAATTTCAGTACTGAGAGACTTGATCCTGAATACAGATTCCAATACCACAATGATGAACAGAGTCTTTATTTAGACAACAGAATGCCGTTTTCAACAAAAAATCATGGTGCATTCTTTCCTCAATCCCTCAGTAGTCCAAGCAGGTTTTATAGTGGTCCATGGGCATTGTATACCATATTTTTGGAGTAAGAGTTGCACTTTTTTCATGGTTTGGTTGGTCCTGCGACTTATACTCTGGAGCGAGTTATATATTAAAATTTTCACACTGACAGCCTCGAGGGGGGCGCTCTAGGCTTGTGGACCAGTATCTACTACTTCTGTTACTCCTGTACCACTGTCACTTCACACTCCACTGCGCATGTCTCCTGCAGAAAGAAGTGACACCGAGGATGACGAAGTCAGTGGATTTAGTGATTTGGAGTGAGATGGAGATATTGGTAAACTTGTTCTGTTCTGTTGTTTGTGCTATAGTTATCTGAAGAACTGTTCATATGTGATGTTAACAGCCTCTTGTTCTCTGTTCTATTGTTTTTACTATAACTTGCCTTTCAATATGAAATATCAGTTCCTGGTCTCTGATTTTATTAAATAAATTTCCCTCAGAAAAGTATGACTTATAATCTGGTGCGATTTATATGTTTTTTTCATCTTCATTACACATTTTTGGCTGGTGCGGCTTATACTCTGGAGTGATTTGTATTTCAAAAAATATGGTACTACCATGTGGTCTTGTTTTTGTTCTCATACAGCTGAAGATCATTCCAAAGTTATTCAGGAAAGGTCCATTTCTGTCCTGTGACTTTTTTAGAAACCATACTTGCTAAAATTTATATCTACTTTCGATACTAGGTTTAGTATCAATTAATAACTGATTATCAATATTTTTGACAATCCTACTATGTCCAAGTAATTCAATATTATTCTTCCACAAAATGTCCACTGTCAACAAATCCAAAATGTTGACTATATGGGCCAAAAATAAGCCGGACTCTTGTATGTGGCCTTATAACTCAAACTTACTTTAGATAGAAATTGAAAAGAACATGCATTGGTGTTTACATAGCCCTTCACACTGGAAACCCACGCCACTTTTGAGTTCACCCATTAAAAACAGCACGAACCTACTCTAGTGTAAAACATGGCCTGACTCTGAAAGCTTCAAAATATCCATTAGATCTTCCACCAGAGGAATACTTTCACCCAGACGACTGCACTATTGCAGCAGATTCAGTTTCGGAGATAGCACTTGACCACTCTTGCCGACAACAACCAAAACTGGGTGTATTTTTCATGACGAAGGACAGGAGTGCCTTATAATTTACATTCTATGATGAACCGAGAGCCTGATAAGCTCGGCGACCGGTGAAATCTAATCTGGAGCTCTATGGTTTTTTTGTTTTGTTTTTTGTATCTATGGAAATGGCTGGGTTTCTTATCGGTCCGAGCGGGTTATTTGAGTAGATTCGGAGCTCTGGCTTAGAGAAGGGACTCAATCACCGCCGCCTGCCGATAGCCCTCCCTTTGGTCCTCCTCCTCTCTCATCTTTTTATCTGGAGGAGCGGAAATGAAAGGATGCTATCTCGCGCCTCGCTACGTCCCCCCCGTTCAGGAGACAGAGAAGCACCGACCGTTTTCTTTTTAGGGCCCGAAGATAAAAATGTGGTTTATAAACTTGTTTTTCAGAAAGTAATATGTGGGCATGAGATGGACTCCGAAATGAACAGGCTAATATGGAGATGATTGAAAGTTTTTTTTTGTACTGTAGCACTTGGTTCTATAATGTAATGGTGGAAATACAGAGGCAGTGTTTTTAAAATAGTAGAAAGTTTCTCATTTACATATATTACATACTTTCCTCAAGCCAACCAATATCCAAAAAACAAAATAAATAGTACTGTTTTGGGGGGAAAAGTTTTAAAATGTTTGATTCATTTAGAAATTTTTACCACTTTACAAAGCAGAGTCTGTGAATTTATTGTCTTGCTATTGCTTTGCCTGAAATGTTCCACAGTATGGCATGAAACATATATACCTCTGTAGAGTTATACTGGTCAGATCTATGGAATATATATATTTTTTAATATAGTACAGTATATTGATATGTTTGATGCCATACTGTGGAATATTCCAGACAAAGCAATTACCGTATTTTTCGGACTACAGGTCACACTTTTTTTCATGGTTTGGGTGGTCCTGCGACTTATACTCCGGTGCGACTTATATTAAAATTTTCACACTGACAGCCACGAGAGGGCGCTCTAGGCTTGTGTGTCAGTATCTGCTACTCCTGTTACTCGTGTACCACTGTCACTTCGCACTCTACTGCGCATGTCTCCTGCAGAAAGAGTCACTGTCCTGTTGCAAGAAGTGAAATATGCAACCGAAAACAGTAATCGAGCAGCAGAAAGAAAGGTTGGAGTGAGCGAGAAACTCGTGAGGGACTGGCGACAGGCGGGAATGGAGAACACAGCTTCACGGCAACTGGGAGGGTGCGCCATGCAACTTTCCTGGAAGTCACTGGATGGATCGACAAAGCCTGAACTTCAGTGACAACCGAAACCATCCTGTTGGGATTCAGAAAGGCCGGAATAATTCTAACCGGAACTGAGCTGAGTCTGATGACAACTACACAGAAGAGGAAGCGGCGCTAAGTTTACCTACGGAGGTTGCGGAGTTGCTCAGAAGTAAAAATGTAAAATGTAAATGTAAATGTAAATGTGAATCTAAATGTAAAATGTAAAATGTAAAAGTAAAGAATTCAATGGATTTAGTGATCTGGAGTGAGATGGAGAGTTTGGTCAATTGTTCTGTTCTGTTGTTTATGTTATAGTTATAGTCTGAAGAACTGTTCATATGTGACGTTAACAGCCTGTTGTTCTCTGTTCTATTGTTATTACTATAACTTGCCAATCAAGATGAAATGACGGTTCCTGGTCTCTGATTTTATAAAATTCATTTCCCCCAAAATATGCAACTTATAGTCCTAGACTTATAAAGTTTTTTTCGTCTTCATTAAGCATTTTTTGGCTGGTGCAATTTATACTCCGGAGCGACTTATAGTCCAAAAAATCCTGTATATCTCCATGGAAACAACCAGGTGAAAGGATCTTCCACCAGAAAAGTTGGATTTAAACCACTTAAACAGCCTAGCATTTAAGTTTACCCTGACCAAGGTCCAAAGAAGAAAAGACAAACTACAAAAGCCTAAGAGGGTCAAAAACTTTGTAATGGCTTTAAAGAGCAATGCAGTGTTCTCCAACCTATGGGACGACACAATGGCCTAGACAGTGATCGATACCATTAATGACTTGACAACCATTCTTACAAGACAATGGCAACTTCGAGTCCGAGCAGTGAATTAAACTCCTCAGAGAGACTGCATTTTCAAACAACAGTCATTAGAAAGATAAGGATAAAAAATGCCCGAGGTCTCGACATTCACCATCTCCACACGACACAGTCTGAATTGGGCCTGTAGTTCTTCCAAATATATCCCCGGTCATGTCATTCCGTGGAAATTAAACCGGTAAAAAATGGCCAATTTGTAAGAGAAGGGGCGCGCGGAGAGGACGTGGGTGGCTGGCTCTCACCTTCACACTGTCTCCTCTCGTCAGGGTGTCCCAAAGCGTGTTCCCGAACGTGCTCAGATCCATGCGCCGCCCTCCTCCCAGCAGAGTCTGCACACAAGAGACCAGGGTTTAATCACTTTGGATCAAGCCAAATCTCATCCAGAAACATGACCCACTGGCAGCAGATAAAGCGTGTATCACCGGTTAGCCTATTCATTTCACTCGGTTAACATTATTATATTTAAAGGTGAACTATGTCACTTTTTGTTGCCATGGAGATGCTATTGCTTTGCCTTGAATGTTCCTCAGGTTTGGCTTTAAATGTATTGCTCTTGTGTTTATTAAATAACAGATGTTTTTATCTATCAAAAATGCATTCTAACTGTAAGTGTGGCCACCTCTCCACAGATCTGACCTGTAACTTGGCCTGGTCAACCCCACCTGCATGTGTCACTGGAGACAGATACAGTATGTTTAATTCCATGTACTATGGTCCAAGGCAAAAAAAAAAAAAAAACTGACGAAGGCTTTTTTTTTGCCAAAACATTATCTAAACATAAAAAAATAATAAAAAAAAGATTTTGGACTTCAGCCATCTGAGTGTTCTAAGAGTTTTTCCACTTTTATTTTGCTGTTCCCTGCATTTGCACCTCTACAAGAACTTTGGTGTGCATTTTCTGTTTCATTTAATTCCATATTGTGTAACATTTTGGAAAAGCAATAACGTTTCTCCTGTGTAACCTCTTCACAAGAAATTACACAATGCACCCTTGAGATTTTTTTTCTTTTTCTGTATTTTGGTGAAGTCAATAGTTTTATTTTACAGCAAATATGACATACTCTCTATATAGAGGTAATTCCATACCTGTTACCTACAAACAAAATATTAATGAGGGCCAAAGTGTGCCAGAATAACTAGGCATGTAACAATAACCAATATATTGTGATATTGAATCGTCAAAAGTCTCACAATAATACCATGGGCTTTCACAAATATCGAATCACAAGTTCCTTTGCTTAAATGCATGTTTTTTTTAGACGCAACAGCTTATAAATATAGGGAAATACATATCCCATGATTCATTTCAGTGCAGACAACATGAAGAAATATGTTTTTTACTCGATTTCTTGGGATTATGATGGAAATAATTCACAACAAAACCTTGTCAATGTATTTTAAAAGCAAAAAACTGTCCATTCTACAATTATATTAGCCTCTTCAAAATATTTCAATAAATATCGTACCGTGAGATGCATATCGTGATAATATCGTGCTATGAGATTTGGATATCGTTACATCCCTAAGAATTACATGTTTAATCGTCCGCATAGGTTCATTAGGTCTTCTGTACCGATTATACTTTAGATCAGACATGTCAGACTCAGGCCCGGGGTCCAGATTTGGCCTGCAATATAATTATATCTGGCCCTCGAGATCATATCAAATATGTATTAGAGCTGGCCCGCCGGGTACAGACAGGCTATAGAGACATTATTTATTTCAAATTTTGTTATTATTTTATGTTATGCTTGTTCTGGATTCAATGTTTAAGCAAAACTGTTGAAATATTTCAATAAATATTTAGTTTGGCCCACGACTTAGTCCCAGTTTTTAATTTTGGCCTCTGTGAATTTGAGTTTGACAAGTACTAGGGATGTAACGATATCCAAATCTCACGGTACGATATTATCACGATACGCATCTCACGGTACGATATTTACTGCGATATTCTCGAGAGGTTCACAGAACTGCACATATGCTATTTTTTCTTTTTTTCTTGATCAGTCTTCAGTGTGAATCATTACTGTCATATTCCAAGTGCTTAAAAACTGTTATTTTATTATGTAGTAAATTAAATAGAGGATTGTGGTCTATGCAGTTCCCTTTTTTTTAAGACTTTTAAGTGAAAAACCTTGGAATTTGTTATACTGGGACTGTCCATGATATTATTGTGAGAGTTTTGACGATACGATATCATGATATTTCGGCTATTGTTACATCTCTACTAAGTACAGACCTCTGTGCTACTCTGCTCCAAGAAGGAAGACAGCACCAAAGTGTGTTTAAGTCAGCTGACCAAAAGTATGAAATAAATAGAGGTCTGTACATAAGAATCTACATATAATCCATGTTTATTCTGTCAGAAAAATGCCTTCCATGTGCGTAAATTGCCCCAGAATTTTAGATGGGATTTAGAACTCACCGCTAGTTCCTGTATTTTTTTCCTTTTCAACTTTTCCCACATACTACTACTTACTAGATTTAACACTATTACAAATATTTAGCACAGTTACGGTCTCACCAAACCAAGTAATCATTAGAAAAACCTGAAAACCTGTCATAAGTACTTTAACTGGCTTAAAAGGCGTGCAAGATCATCAAAAGTGCAGCACGGCGCCTCTCCACAGCCTCTCCATATATGCACAAACCCTTTCCACGCTTTTAAATACTTTATCAAATCCAACACGTAACCTCCTCCACAAGTGTTTACAGCTGCAGAGAAGTACCTATAGATTCAGGAAGCACACACCATCTTCCATCTACACTCGAACGCCCCATGACCCTCCCTGGCACGGGCTCATGAAAAGTGCATTATGTGGTCGGGTTGTCAGAAAAGGTCGACATTAAAACTACTAATTCATACAAAAAGTAGCAGGCATTCATACACTCTTGAACTTTTTCAGAAGATGTGTAGTATATTATTCTTTGTTGAAAATGACATTACATATTTGTGAATATGGAGAAGGTACAGAGGAGACAAAAGGCCATGGTGTAGGATTAAAACACCAACGTATCTTATGTTCTTTAAAAAGTTTTTATTTTGCATTGTGCTATTCAAAACAGATTGAGTACGCTTTCCAGCATCCTAAATATTCACTGCAATGAGTTTATAAGGACTTTTCATCGCTTTCACTTTCTTTCACGCAACTACAGCGTTCTGTTAAGTTATCATTAAGTTATTATTAGGGATGTAACAATAACTGAAATATCGTGATATCGTATCGTCAAAGTTCACACAATAATATCGTGGACCATCACAATATATTCAATTACAAGTCTCTTTGCTTAAATTAAGAGTTATGGTGCAGCAATAGCAAAAAAAAAAAAAAGACAGAGGGAACTACATAGACCATGATCCTTTGCTCCATTTCAGTGCAGACTACAAGAAGAAATAACAGTTCTAAGCACTTTTAAGTCTTAGTTCTTTGGATTAAATCTTGTCATGGCATTTTAAAAGGAAAAAGTAAGGAAAATATCACAATAAATATTGTACCGTGAGATTTATTTCGTGAAAATATCGTACCAAGAGATTTGGATATTGTTACATTCCTAATTGTGAGCCTCCCTACCATATCGTGAGCTTTCCCAAGATATTGTAATAAATATCGTGCCGTGAGGTTCATACTGTGACAATATTGTATCGTGAGACTTGGATATCGTTACACCCCTAGTTATTATGATTATTTACAAATGTACGCGCCTTTTGTTTAGAGGAGACTGACAGTATTTTGAATGTTAAAAAACTGTAATACCAAACCATAAGGTGAGTGGAAAGGGTTAACATTTCATATTTAGCCCTACAAATATGACCAATTTTACACATATAGGTGCCGTAAAGTCAAGGAAAAGTCGTGAAAAAGTTTTTAAATTTTGTCAGTGAAAAAAGCGGGAACCCTGGGTGATGTCCCCTGCACCAGAAGTTACATGGTGCGCCTTTAAATCTTTTAAGGAGACTAGCAGGTCACACACCCTCCAGAAAAGTTACATAGTGCACCCATAGAGTCTGTATATAAATAGAAAGTGACCATGGGGGCACTTCTGGTTCCATCGACTTAAAAAATCAACACTGAAAAATTGTCATGCCTCTCTCTATAACTGCTGCTACGAGCCTTGTCATTCTGTTCTTCAAATGTTCATATTACCTCTTTCTAGAGTTTTATTTCCTGATTCTCGGGCAATAAAAAGCTTTAGACGCTGACATTATACAGCTTATTTATTTTGACCTCAAGAGCAGCTTACACAATATAACTGTGCTGGGGCAAGACACATTTTGCTCAAATACGTGGAGATTTAAGCCATGTTATAATGTTGTTAGCTCCTCAGAAAACATACCTGGAACTGTATTTCATTTGTTGTTTCATCCGCACGTTTGTGTAATCCTTTATTATTTGTCTGTCTATTACCACATGACATCACAAGGTGGAGTCTTTACAGCTTAAATATTCAGGGTTTGTGTGTTAAACATGTGTAAAATAAACAAAACACAACTCTAGGTATGTTTTTTTTGATGAGGAAACAACATTTTATAAGACACATAGATCAGAAAATAGTGCAATAGGAGCCTTTTAATAATAATTCAGAAACATCCAGTTTACTATTACTGCTCTAGGTCCTGAGTCCTATGTGTTTTTTTACAATTCAGTGCGTGGTATCTTTCGTGACTTGCTGTAGTGAAGCCATAAAGCATCGATCACAAATGCGGAGTTGTAGTCGGACAGATACACTGCCTGTTTTAATTCATGGGAGGCAAAACGCATCACTCGTCCACTCTGAATAAACATGGTGCTCTGAGGGAGCGGGGGGATCCTGACAGGTGAATTCATCTGCGGCTTTTTGCCAAGTGAAATGGAAGTGAGTGAGGCGGTGCGTACCAGCGCAGGCCCATCAGTCACTCGGCCGTGAGAAATACTACATGTTCAATGGGAGGTATATAAAAACATAGGTAGAGAAATGCTATATATGACTATTCTTTACTACATCACACATTATTTATAATACTGTTTAAGATTTGAAAGGTATTCAACTGGACTTTTTTTTTCTTAATGGTGCACACATATACCGTGTAAAGAAATGGACTAAAAGATAAAAGAGTGTGGCATCACCCGTAGAGTTCAGCGCCAGTCCAGTGCAGCTCACGAGGTTTGCAGTTAGAGTAAATTTGGAGGTGAGTTCCATATTAAGGATAGGAATTTATTTACAGACAAAATAGCAATTTTAAAATCACCAGGTGAGTTGATCTGAACATTTTAAGATCAGAATGACAAGACTCGTAGCAGGTACAGAGAGAGGGGTGATCATTTTTCAAAGTAAAGTCGATAAAGCCAGA